TGCTCAGTGTGAAGTCTGCTTGAAATTCTTTCTCCTGCCCCCTACTTGCATTCTTTCTCCTCTCTCTCAAAGAAATAAAATCTTAAAAAAAAAGAATATGCAAATTAAAAATAATTACCTTTTTTAAAAGATTTATTTATGTATTCATGAGAGACAGAAAGAGGCAGAGACATAGGCAGAGGGAGAAACAGGCTCCCTGTAGGCCAATGTGGGACTCTATCCTGAAACTCCGGGATCATGCCCTGAGCCAAAGGCAGATGCTCAACCGCTGAGCCACCCAGGATCCCAAAAATAATAACTTTTACAACAGAGTAAAAAAAAGCCTTGTAATACTTAGGAAAAAATATGCAAAAGACACATAGGATCTATACATTGATCACTCAAAATATTTCTGTGAGAAACTAAAGAAAACCTAAATCATGCATTATACCATAACTACAAATTGAAAGGAATCATTATTGTTGGGATCCCTGGGTGGCGCAGCGGTTTGGCGCTTGCCTTTGGCCCAGGGCGCGATCCTGGAGACCCCGGATCGAATCCCACGTCGGGCTCCCGGTGCATGGAGCCTGCTTCTCCCTCTGCCTATGTCTCTGCCTCTCTCTCTCTCTCTCTCTCTCTGTGTGTGTGACTATCATAAATAAATAAAAATTAAAAAAAAGGAATCATTGTTAAGATACTAGTTCTTACTGAATTGAAATATAACTTTATTTGAATATGAATCATAATTCCAGTAGGGATTTTTTTGGGTAAAAATTGATAATCTGATTTAAAAATGGAAAAGACCTAGAATATAAAAGGACTTAGAATAAAGCAATCTTGAAAAACTACAACAAAATTGGAAGAAACTATCTGACCTCAAGACTTAATATACAGCTACAATAATCAGTATGTTACTATCATAAAGGTTGACCAATAGATCGATGGAACAGAGTATCCTAATACTGGACCCACACATTTGTGTTCACTTGATTTTCAATAAATCACCAGAGCAAACTTATTGGGAAACAAATCTTTTCTATAAATGGTCTTTGAATATCTGGATATCCAAATGGAAAACAATGAATTTTGACTCCTTACTCATACCATATAAAAATTAATTCAATATGGAGCATAGACAGATCTATATTATAAAACTAAAACTATAAAGCTTCTAGAATAGCACTGTTTAGTAGAACTTTCTGCAGTGTTAGGAATGTCCTATATTTGCATCCATTGTCTAATGTAGTAGCTGCTAGTCATTATGTAGTTGAGTTTTTGAAATCTGTCTATTGTAACAGGAAGTTAATTTTAAATTTTATTTAACTTTAGTTTATATTTAGATAGACTAATGGCTATATATGTCTATGTAGACCGGTCTAATGGGCTATATAGGACAGGACAGCTCTAGAAGAAAGCATAGGAAAATGTCTTCTTAAGCTGAGGGTGGGCACCTGTTCCTTAGACACAGAAAACAATAACTATAAAAGAAAGAATAGGTGAATTCGACTCATCAAAAATTAAAACTTTTGCTATCAAAACATACTAGTAAGAGAGCAAATTGGCAAAATATAGATGGGGAGAAAATATTTGCAAAACAAATATGCTGACAAAATTCTGGTATTACAAGATACAGTGAAATGATAGGACACTTGCACCCCAACGTTCATAGCAGAGTGTCCACAATAGCCAAACTGTGGAAGAAGCCATGTTGTCCTTCAACAGATGAATAGATAAAGAAGATGTGGTGTGTGTCCACACACACAATGGAATATTACTGAACCATCAGAAAGGATGAATACCTACCATTTGCTTTAACATGGATGGAATGGAGGGTACTATGCTGAGTGAAATAAGTCAGTTGGAGAAAAACAATTATAATATGGTTTCGCTCATATGTGGAATATAAGAAATAGTGAAAGGGACCTTAGGGGAAGAAGGGGAAACTGAGTGGGGAAAAGTCAGAGAGGAAGACAAACCGTGAGACTCCTGACTCTGGGAAACAAAAAAAGGGTTGCAGAAGGGGAGGTGGGTGGTGGGATGGGGTAACTGGATGACAGGGATTAAGGAGGGCACATGATAAAATGAGCCCTGGGTGTTACACTGTATGCTGGCAAATTGAATTTAAATAAAAATGTAAAATAAAAAAATAATAAAATTCTGGTATTATAGATAATAAAGAACCCCTAAAGATCAATACCAAAAAGATCTGCAGTCCAGTTAAAATGGAGATAAAAATACTTGAACAGACACTTCACAAAGGAAGATATGCAAGTGACCAACAAGCACCAAAAAAAAAAAATGCTTAACATAATTTGTTATAGAAATGCAAATTAAAGTATGAGGTACTACCATATATACCTCAGAAAGGCCAAAATGCTAAAATTAAAACTGCTGACAATATTAAATGTTATCAAGGCTTTGAAACAATAGGAACTCTCATACACTGATGGTGGGAGTGTACAATCATACTATTTTGGGCAAAGTACTACCAGTTTCTTATATATTTATAAAATTAACCCATTAATTCTATTCTTCGATATGTTCCCAGAGAAATAAAAACATGCATTCACAAAAAGATGTACAGATTGATCTAGCAGTTTTATTCATAATGACGAAAAACTGGAAACAGTGGAAGTGTTTATCAGTAAGAGAATGGATAAATAAACTGTGGCATATTTATACTATGGAATACTATTACTCAATAAAAAGGAACAGATTACTGATAATGAACAAATCTCAAAAATATTGTGCTTAGTGAAAGAAATCTTATATCAAATGGTATATAAGTTTTGACTTATATGAAGTTCAGAGACAGGCAAAACTAATATGAGATGGAAAAATATCAGAAATGTCCCTTTTGATAAGATTGGGAAGGAATATAAGGAACTTTCAGGAGTTGTGATAATGTTAATTAGGGTTTTTGTTACATAGTTTTGTGCATTTGTCAAAACTCAACCTTTAAGATTTGTATATTTGTTTTATGTAACTTTTATTTGAAAAAAATAATTAACTTTCTAGCTAATATGTTTAAGAGTTTAGTGTCTTAAGTTTACAATTTACTTTGAAATGCTTCAGTATAATAAAATGGATCACTGTATGGCCAGTGGGATGATTCATATGTGACAAAGCATCTTCATTGTATATTCTAGGTAGGTGCAGTATATATATGTTCTCTTTACAAATTCTTCTTTCAGCTTTTAAGAATTAATATCTTAAATTCTTTCAGTCTTTCTGTGTCTTTGAACATTTTCCTAATGAATGTTGGAAAAAATGTAATATGATTTTTTTAGTGTAAAAGTGACTTGTACCCAGCAAAAATATTTGGGAAATATAAAAAAATGAAAAGCCCAACCATCCAGAAGTAACTATTACTTGATGGTTTTGCTTTCAAGTCTTTTTATGTGCTTTATTTTTACTTTAATGTCTGTGATCATATTTTATATATTTCCTTATGTTTTATACTTATATCCTATAAAATATTCTGTTTTTCCCAAGTAAGGTTTATAGCATATCATTTCCACTGCCAGATAGTATTCTACTGAGTTAGGATACTATAGATTACTTAAGTACCCATCTATTTTGTGTGTTTAGGGTTTTTTTTATGTCTTACTGATATACCACTATAATGGATATTATTTCGCAGAAAGTTTGTTCTGTGTTTTAGGCCCTTGTAAGTGGAAGTACCACATCAAAGGGTATGAAAAATTTCAAAGTAAAATAAAATAAAAAAAAGAAAAATTTCAAAGCTCTTCATACACATTGTCAAATTGTTGACCTTTTTTCTAGAATAGTCCCTGAGATACCTCTATAGAACCCTAAAAGAGGTTGCTCAAAGTTTAGTTAAGACACCACTGACCTAGAATATTTGAGTTATTCACAGGCTATATATCAAATTGCATTTTCTTAAAGATTTTCTTCTGAGAGAGAGTGAGAGCATAAAAAAGAGAGGAAGACACAGAACTCCTAGAAGACTCCCTATTTTTTAATGGATTTTTTTTTTCCATTTTGAGGCCACAGATTCCTGCTGGTAGTTGGCAGAACCACCGTTTGACTACGTGTGTGTGTGTGTGTGTGTGTGTGTGTGTGTGTGTGTGTGAAGGTAATGAACAAATCTGTTCAGCACAAAACAGGTGTTTAATAATGTTGGTTAAATGAATGCATGCATAAATGAAGGTACCAAAGGCTTAGATTTACATTTCCTGTGCATTTCCTCTCAGAACTGTGAAAGATGGGCAGCCCCGGTGGTGCAGCGGTTTAGCGCCTCCTGCAGCCCAGGGCATGATCCTGGAGTCCTGGGATCGAGTCCCATGTCAGGCTCTCTGCATGGAGCTTGCTTCTCCCTCTGCCTGTATCTCTGCCTCTCTCTCTCACTCTCTGCATCTCTATGAATGAATGAATGAATGAATAAAGAAATAAATAAAACTGTGAAAGACTTAGGTTATCAGGCTGATACTAGCCTGAACGATGTTCTCATTTGCATATTGGTTTTTTGTTTCGTTCTCATATCTGCCTCATGAAGAAAGCAGCTTTCTGATTTTTCTTTGGCTCAGAACACAGAGTTACATGTAAAGCCCATGTAATTACAAGATACTAACTGATCTGTTTTTGGAAGTGTGGTCCAGGTCACAGTGACATGAATTGTCTCTTGTTTTTTGTCTTCTAGGCTCTAGTGTGAATCACAAAAGCACTTATGTGTAGCATGCCTCTCTATCCTCTGAGGGAGGTTTCCACAGGCAGGGTCATCCTCCACATTGCAGCAGGCCCGGGGCAAGGGAACTGGGGCTACCGTCACCACAAACATTGTGCTTGACAGCAGTGTGAGCTGATGCCCTAGGAAGCTTTGTGGTTCCAGGGCCTGGGGAAGCTGCTGGCTTATGGGGACATGGCCTTTCTGTGAAAGAGACTAGATGGGAAGGAGGTAGTTCCTCTGAAAACAAACCCAACAGGAAGGATCGTTTGTCCTTGTGTATAAGGAAGAAAATGAGACTAATTATCCTTATTTATTATAATTCTCTGCTCAGAGAACGAATCAAGTATTGCTGTGAGCAGCTGCGTACTCTGTTGCCATATATAAAGGGGAGAAAGAATGACACGGCTTCTATTCTTGAGGCAACCGTTGATTATGTGAAGTACATCCGGGAGAAAATCCCTCCAGCTATTATGGGCCAGGTATTTGACTCCAAGCCCTTGAATTTTATCCTCATATATAGTGCTTTAAAGCCATAGTTTTATTTTTTATAATTGGAAATATATGTGTGTTTGTATATATGAAAAAATATCTGTCTCTAAAAAGATTTCTCTCTCTCTCTCTCTTAGATTACAGAGGTACTTCAGAGCAATAGGAGGTTTTGTAAGAAACAGCAAATGTCCATCCAGCTGTCCTTTCCAGGCACAATCATGGCACAAAGGTATGATGAGGGCTCTTGTGCACTGGAAGTTGGCTTGTTACTTTCCTCTGATGCTAATGCTAGAAGTATTGTAGACAGACACTGAACCCACCTGTAATGAAAACTCAGGTATTTCATTCAGAATCAGTGAGCTTGGGAAGCCCCGGTGGATCAGCGGTTTAGCACCGCCTTTAGTCCAGGACATGATCCTGGAGACCCGGGATCGAGTCCCACATCGGGCTCCCTGCATGGAGCCTGCTTCTCCCTCTGCCTGTGTCTCTGCCTCTGTGTGTGTGTGTCTCATGAATAAATAAATAAAAATCTTAAAAAAAAAAAGAATTAGTGAGCTTGGGGTGCCTAGGTGGCTCAGTCATTTAAATATCCAGATCTTGATTTCAGCTCAAATCATGATCTCAGAGTGATGAGACCAAGCCCTGCATTGGGATCTGCCCTGGCCATGGAGCCTGCTTGAGATTCTCTCTCTCTCTCTCTCTCTCTGCCCCTCTAAGCGCCCCCCTCACCATGCATACACACATGTGCAAGCACTCTCTCTGTCTCAAAATCAGTGAACTCTTCCCATTGTCAATGTGTGTCATTTAGTCACAGTGATAAAATATATAATATTCTCAGTCCCATGATCCTTTCATCATTTGACTCACTTCTATTTCTCCTCTTAAAAATTCCAAAGATCTTTTTTTTTTTTAAAGGTTTTTTATTTATTTATTTACGATAGTCACAGAGAGAGAGAGAGAGGCAGAGACACAGGCAGAGGGAGAAGCAGGCTCCATGCACCGGGAGCCCGATGTGGGATTCGATCCCGGGTCTCCAGGATCGTGCCCTGGGCCAAAGGCAGGCGCCAAACCGCTGCGCCACCCAGGGATCCCCCAAAGATCTTAAAGTAATGTTTTATCTGTAGTGATGATCATGACTGGCAGACCCACAGGGGCAGGATGCATTCTAGCATTCCTCTGTTATAGGAGGTCATGGGCCCTGGAGCAGTCCAGACCTGTTTTAGTTGGGAGTTTTTGAAGAATATGCTAATACAAAATGTGACATGCCAAATGAATGTCCCTTATTTAATATTATTAGAATACATAGGCAAGGAAAAACTATAAAGCAAATCATTCCTCCATACCCGAAACTATCATCATGAATCCTATTCAAACCATTTGTTCTTATGCCTAAATCATCCATAGTTTAGGCTCTGTGGACTTGAGTGATAGTAGAACAACTGAACTCAGCAGTGTGCATGTTGTCTTCCTTGAGAATTGTATAAAGTGTTTTTTTTTTTTTTTTGTCATTTAAGGGAAAATGGTGTGTTGACAAGCACTTATTCACCTATGAGAGGGATCAGATTCCTGGCTAATAAGTGCTTGAATGTGTACTCTGTTCCTGCCTCAGGGGGCTCCTTGGATGAACCTGTAAGAGGTGAGTTCCACCTGATAACCTGTGTGGTTATAGTATGCTTGGGTTACGTGGATGTCCTATGCACTCCTGTGTTCCTGTACATTCACTGCTGTAGCCGGGGAAAGGAGTAGGGCTAGAAGGTTATACCATGAGTCCTTTTGGTGTTGCCTGTTTCAGGTACACAAGATGGCCACAGGCATTCATATGGTGTTATCTCAGAAATTGAGCTCAAAATTGACCATTGTTACTGGAAAGCTCATCTTCTTTTTATGGAGGAGTAATTGACATATAACATTATATTAGCTTCAGGTATACAAGATGACGATTTGTTATTTATATACAGTGTGAAATGGGGATCCCTGGGTGGCGCAGCGGTTTGGCGCCTCCCTTTGGCCCAGGGCGCGATCCTGGAGACCTGGGATCGAATCCCACTTCGGGCTTCCGGTGTATGGAGCCTGCTTCTCCCTCTGCCTGTGTCTCTGCCTCTCTCTCTCTCTCTCTTTCTCTGTGACTATCATAAATAAATTTAAAAAAAATTTATATGCAGTGTGAAATGATCACCGCAGTAAGTCTGCTTAACATCTGTCAACAAGATTATAATATTCTTTTTCTTGTGATGAGAACTTTTAAGATCTAGTCCCTCAGCAACTTTCAAATATATAGTATAGTAGTATTGATTGTAATCACCATGCTGTACACTATATCCCCATGACTTTTCTATTTTGTACCAGGAAGTTTTATACCTGGTTGAAGTATATACCAGTTTGACTGGTTTCACCCATTTCATCCCCCAAGCCCCATCTCTGGAAACCACCAGTTCTGTGTATCTCTGAGCTTGATTTTTATATGCTTATTTTTTGAGATTCTAAGATCATACAGTATTTCTCTAACTTATTTCACAAAGCATAATGCCCTTAAGGTCCATCTATATTGTCATAAATGGCAAGATTTCATTCTTTTTTATGGCTGAATAATATTTCAGTGTGTGTGTGTTTATAGATCTATATCTATCACATTTTCTATCAATGGATACTTAGGTTCTTGGCACTTGTCAATGATGCTGCAATGAACAAAGAGGTGCTTATATCTCTTTGAGTTAGTATTTTTATATTCTTTGGATAAATACCCAGAAATAGGATTGCTGGATCATATAGTAACACTATTTTAATTTTTTTGAGGAACCTCCATACTGTTTTCCAGTGGCTACATCAATTTACATCCCCACCAACAGTTCACAAGTATATATATCCTTACCAACACTTATTATCTCTTATCTTTTTGATAATAGCTATTCTAATGGGTGTGAGGTAATATCTCATTGTGGTTTTGATTTACATTTCCTTGATGATTAATGATGTTGAGTATCTTAGCCATTAGCCACTTTATGTCTTCTTTGGAAAAATGCCTATTTAGATGCTCTATCCATGTTTAAATCAGTTTGTTTCTTTGATATTGACTTATAGGAGTTCTTTATGTATTTTGGATATTAACCCCTTACCAGATATATGACTTGCAAATGTTTTCTCCCATCCCATAGGTTTCCTTTTCATTTGATTGATGGTTTCCTTTGCTGTGCAGAAGATTTTTGGCTTGATATTACAGTCCCACTTGTCTATTTTTGCTTTTGTTGCCTTTCCTTTTGGTGTCAAATCCACAAAATCATCTCCAAGACCAGTGTCAAGAAGCTTACTCCCTGTTTTCTTCTAGGAGTTTTATGGTTTCAGGTTTTATGTTTAGTCTTCAATCTATTTTGAGTTAATTTTTGTGTATGGTGTAAGATAGGCATCCAGTTTCATTCTTTTGCATATTACTGATCGATGATAAGCACATAGGTGACTTGGTTACATGAATACAATCTAAAGGAAAGGGAAGTACTCAAATTAATTGAGTACTAACTATGTACTGAACATTTAGCATATTGACTATTTACCTCCTTCACATCTTTGCTAACATGTCACCTTCTCAGTGAGTCTCAACCACTCATTTAAAACTGCATACTCCTTTCCAGCATCACATAGTGCATGAGACTTCTTATATACTTTCTCTACTCTATTTTTTTTCCTAGCACATATTTCCTTCTAATATTCTTTACTTGGATATGGTCCTTTTTTATTAAAATTAATTAATTAATTAATTAATTATATAGATCTTGGATATGGTCTTTTTTATTAAAATTTTTTATTTATTTTTATAGATCTTACTTACTCATGAGAGAGATACGGGGTGGGGGGGGGGGAATCAGGCTCCCTATAAGGAGCCCCATGCAGGACTCAATCCCAGATCCCAGGATCACGCCCTGAGCCAAAGGCAGATGCTTAACCACTGAGCCACCCAGGTGTCCCACTTGGATATTTCTTATTGCCTGTCTTCTCCCACTGGAATAACAATTCTGTGAAGACAGGGGATTTTTTTTTTTTTTGCCTGTTCTGTTCATTGCTGTATTTCTAGTACCTAGAACAATGACTAGCATACAGTCTGTACTCAAGAAACCTTCCCTGTATGCATATTCCTTGTGGAACAAGTATTTACCCACTGGGAGGCATTACTTATGTTATAAAGTCCAGGCATGCCCATGTACTTGTAGAAATAAGAAGATAGAAAAAAGCAGAGCCAGAGTAAAAGCACACTGCTACCAGCTTGTGACTTTTCTATTCTTGAAGGTTATTCTTCACTGAGAGCCCAGTAAGGTACCGCACTGCTAATCTTCATGTTGGTTGCTAGGTGACAGGACACGCTTACCTCTGTCTTCCGTGCCCAGGTCTGAGGTCACTCTTGTGCTGACTTCTTTGAAAGGATTCCACTTGTTTACTTCACTTCCCCTTATCTGGGAATGTTCTTTCCATGCTGTGCCTGGAGAACTCCCTTAGTTCTCAGCTTAAATGTCCCTCCTTGAAAAATGGGGGTACGAGGATAAAGATGCTTCCTTATTCTTACGAAGCTGGCAAATTAGTAGCAGAGAAAGTTACAAAAGCAAAATATGATTCCTGTGGTACTTCGAATGCTATAGTAGAGGCACTGTGCATAAAGCGGACGTAGTCAAAGCCATAGGAACAAATGATGTTACTAGGGATGCTGACTAAAGTCAAAAGAGAAAGAGACCAAAAATAGAATATAACTCTCCTTGTTCTAAAATCAAATTAAGCTTCAGGGTGTTTTATTAGTTAATTTAGACTTTTCTCCTGACTTAGGGGAGAAGGGAGAAGAAGAGAGGAAAAAGTAGCCACGAGCCATGATTAATCTACTTCAAGGAGTGGTGGCTGAATATCATCCAGAATGATTATGTCAGCTTGGATTAAATTAGCAAGAGGTCACGCCCCAGGCATATGCCTGTCAGTGTTACCTCTTGGACATCCAGTGCTTACTTCTGCGTTCTCACTATTTATGTTCTGCAGAAACTCTGAAGCACTGTTTTCCTGGTGCTAAGTTCAGGCCTCTCTGTGCCCCAGTGTCTCTCAGTTTTCATCACCTAAAGCAGCTGCTCCCGTGAAGACACAGATATGCTAGGACCATAGACTTTACGCCATGTTCAACTTGGAGAAGACCTTGAAGGTCGTTGAGTCAGACCCTCCAATTTGAATTTTATTTATACATGGTTTTCTATTTGGAAAGCAATATTAGTCCTTCATGAGCCCAGCTAATCACTGTTCGTTTTTTTTTTTTTTTTTTTTTTTTTATAAATTAATTTTTATTGGTGTTCAATTTACCAACATACAGAATAACACCCAGTGCTCATCCCATCAAGTGTCCCCCTCAGTGCCCGTCACCCATTCACCCCCACCCCCCGCCCTCCTCCCCCTCCACCACCCCTAGTTCATTTCCCAGAGTTAGAAGTCTTTATGTTCTGTCTCCCTTTCTGATATTTCTCACACATTTCTTCTCCCTTCCCTTATATTCCCTTTCGCTATTATTCCTATTCCCCAAATGAATGAGAACATACACTGTTTGTCCTTCTCCGGTTACTGTGGCCAAGTTCAAAAAGGGTGTTGCCTGAGTTCTTCTCTGGGATTTTGATGGAATCTTGTCTCACATTTAGATCTTTCATCCATTTTGAGTTTATCTTTGTGTATGGTGCATGAGAGTGGTCCAGTTTCATTCTTCTGCATGTGGATGTCCAATTTTCCCAGCACCATTTATTGAAGAGACTGTCTTTCTTCTAGTGGATCGTCTTTCCTCCTTTATCGTATATTAGTTGAGCATAAAGTTCAGGGTCCACTTCTGGGTTCTCTGTTCTGTTCCATTGATCTATATGTCTGTTTTTGTGCCAGTACCACACTGTCTTGATGAACACAGCTTTGTAGTACAACCTGAAATCTGGCATTGTGATGCCCCCAGATATGGTTTTCTTTTTTTAAAATTCCCCTGGCTGTTTGGGGTCTTTTCTGATTCCACACGAATCTTAAAATAATTTGTTCTAAGTCTCTGAAGAAAGTCCATGGTACTCTGCGCCTTTTGATGGGGTCATTAAGCCCATTCACGTTCAGAGTTACTATTGACAGATATGAGTTTAGTGTCATCATGATATCTATTTAGTCCTTGTTTTTGTGGATTGTTCCACTGACCTTCTTCTTAAAGGGGAGTTTTAAGAGTCCCCCTTAAAATTTCTTGCAGAGCTGGTTTGGAGGTCACATATTCTTTCAGTTCCTGCCTGTCTTGGAAGCTCTTTATCTCTCCTTCCATTTTGAATGAGAGCCTTGCTGGATAAAGTATTCTTGGTTGCATGTTCTTCTCATTTAGGACCCTGAATATATCCTGCCAGCCCTTTCTGGCCTGCCACGTCTCTGTGGAGAGGTCTGCTGTTACCCTAATATTCCTCCCCATGAAAGTCAGGGACTTCTTGCCTCTTGCTGCTTTAAGGATCTTCTCTTTATCTTTGGAATTTGCAAGCTTCACTATTAGATGTCGAGGTGTTGAACGGTTTTTATTGATTTTAGGGGGGGATCTCTCTATTTCCTGGATCTGAATGCCTGTTTCCCTTCCCAGATTGGGAAAGTTTTCAGCTAGGATTTGTTCAAATACATATTCTGGCCCTCTGTCCCTTTCGGCGCCCTCGGGAACCCCAATTAAACGTAGGTTTTTCTTCCTTAGAGTGTCATTTATTTGCCTTAATCTGTCTTCATGGTTCTTTAATTGTTTATCTCTTTTTTCCTCAGTTTCCCTCTTTGCCATTAACTTGTCTTCTATGTCACTCACTCGTTCTTCCACCTCGTTAACCCTCGTCGTTAGGACTTCTAGTTTGGATTGCATCTCATTCAGTTGATTTTTAATTTCTGCCTGATTGGATCTAAATTCTGCAGTCATGAAGTCTCGTGAGGCCTTAATGCTTTTTTCTAGAGCCACCAATAGCTGTAGAATAGTGCTTCTGAATTGGCTTTCTGACATTGAAGTGTAATCCAGATTCTGTAACTCTGTGGGAGAGAGGGCTGTTTCTGATTCTTTCTTTTGAGGTGAGGTTTTCCTTCTAGTCATTTTGCTCAGTGCAGAGTGGCCAAAAACAAGTTGTATTGGAACACGGGGGAGTATCACTGGTCCGTCCAGCTGGTCTTCTGGGGGAGGGGCCTGCTGTGCTGATTTTCAGGTGTTAGCACTTGGGGGAGCTGCTCTGCCCCTGCCTGTTGCCGGGCTCAGCGGGGGTTGTTTACCCCGCCAGGCCCCAGGAGGAACAGTTGCAGTTGCTATGGCAACTCTGGAAGCCTGGATTCAGCCTCCGCAGGAACTACCGGGCTCGGGGCTCTCGGCTCTCCGTCCGCAGGGCCTGAGCTCCGGGGCGGGGCCACTGATCTGCTCAGCTCGGGGCAGGAGCGTCCTCGCTGTCTCGGGCCCTCCCGGCCTCTGCCTGTCCCGGGGGAGGCCGGATCCTGGGCTGTGTCCCGGCGCCCTGTGCTCCGGGGCCTGCGCTGTGGGATTCGCGCTCCCGCCCCGCAGCTCCCTCCCTGGAGCCGCTCCCGAGCCCCTCCGAGCTGCTCCGGTCGGTCCCCGCCGTGCGCGCTGCAGCCCTTAGGGAGCTCGGAGCACTCTCCTGCGCTCGCAGGTGTCTGTTAGTGTCCCCGGGAGCCCGAGGGCATCCCCGCTCTCCTGGGTCCTGCTCCAACTCCCTGCGAGCCCGTTTCCGCCCGCCCGGGAAGGTTGGTGCAGCTCCTGCTCCTCCGGGACGGGGCTCTCCTGTCCTGGGGACACTCGCCCCGGCCTCAGCCCGGCTCCTCGCGGGCCCCTCCCCCTTGGAGGCCTTTTGTTTCTTTATTTCTTTTTCCCCGTCTTCCTACCTTGATAGAAGCGCGAACTCTTCTCACTGTAGCATTCCAGCTGGTCTCTCTTTACATCTCAGGCCGAATTCGTAAATTTTCAGGATGGTTTGAAGGTTATCTAGGTAATTTGGTGTGGACAGGTGACTCGGGGACCCTGCTCTTCCGCCATCTTGCCCCTCCCTCACTGTTCGTTTTTAATATATTTCCTTCAAGTCTTTTTCTGGGTATATTTTTCTACAATAGTACTCACATTGGACATCCTGACTTTATTGCCTTCTTCTTGTACTTAACATCATGTCATATATACTTTAATTTTTTATTTTGTAGCCCTTACCACCATTTTAATGAATTTAGTGGTTTATCAAATAATTTCTAGAAAAGTCTTCTTAATGATCTTCCAGTTGCTACTTTTAGTGTTTGTAGTTTTGTGGGGAGAGTGATTCTATCTATAATATAGGAGATATTTCCCTATGCATAGATTTTTCTATATTTTGGACTTTTCCTTGGGCTAGATACCTGGAAGTGTGTAATGAATGAGTTCCAGAATGTCAGCACATAATATAACTCATAATGCAGGTTGCCAAATTGTTTTTGAAAGAGTCCTGGAACAGTTAAAATCAGTTAAGTCTTCCAAAGTCACTTTCACCACCTCGGTCAGTAAATTGAAGGCTGGATGAGTGAAATGACCTTGTGATGTCACCAGGTGTCTGTTAATGTCTGACTTGTAACACAGAAGCACTGATCTAGTTCAGTGTTTAGATTTTATTAGGTTCCCTTACCTGTTTTTTCCCATAAATCTCTGTACATATTTGCCAAAATGATTTTTCACAAATATTCTAGATACATTTGTATATAAAATAGACAAAAATGTCTTTACTTTCATTATTATTAATATCCAAAAGAAAATAAGTAGGTATTCACAGTGTTACTTCAGATTCAGATTGGTAATGTTCATAACATATTTTTAAATCTTTTCATGCATTGTAGTTACCGTATAGAATATAGATATATAATTATACAACCCACTTCGTTGAAAGAAAATCAGCCAAACTTTGTGACTGACTAGAGTTCTACTTTCCAACATTCTTCCTTGCTTTGTAGGGGTCATAGGGATAGCCACAATTTTCATTATGGTGAAAGCCACACACACATACATACACACACAGGCACAGATATCTGATGCTCCTCTAAACTCTGTCTTTTGGGGCACCTGGGTGGCTCAGTGGATGAGCGTCTGCCTTTGGCTCAGGTCATGATCCCAGGGTCCTGGGATTGAGTTGTGCATCAGGCTCCCTGCAGGGAGCCTGCTTCTCCCTCTGCCTATGTCTCTGCCTCTCTCTCTCTCTTTATCTCTCATAGATAGATAGATAGATAGATAGATAGATAGATAGATAGATAGATAAATTATTTATTTAAAAAAATAAAATAAACTCTGTCTTTTGATGACATAGTAACACTGATTTATAGTATGTGTGTTGCACTAGCTGCCACTGCTAAAAAGTTGACTGTATTTTTCCATCAGCATTGGAGTATATGAGTAGGATAAATTTATAACATGAGGAAATTAAATAGAGGACAATTGATTTCAGTACAGTAATTCCAAGTTACAGAGTTGTGAATACTGATGGGTATTTGTTTTCTATTTTCTTAAAGGTCAGTCCAGCTCTACTTCAGAGAATGCAATTGGTGATATGTATAAAACTCGAATTCCCAGCAAAGCTCTCTCTCTTAATTCTTTCCATGCTGTCAGATACTATTCTAAAGTCATCCCTTCCTATGATGCAGCTGCCATAACAAATCAGAACATTTCAGTTCATTTTCCATCAGCTGTTCCTAAAGTCTCAAAGTTTCTTCCTCAGCACTGCAATTCTGTGCTGGGCCAGACGTGCACAACACATCCCAACTGTCTGGTAAGTCCTCTGGGATCTTCAATCAGATTGGATTCTTTCATTCCAGCCATTAGGGTCCTCTAGCTTGTATTTCATTGTTAGTAGTCTGATCAGAAGTCTTTTAGATTGGGACCAGATGCATTTAACGCAGGCTCTCACTCCCCATACTGCAGGGCTGGTATTTAGATATCCAGAATTAGTAAATCTGGATGTGGCACTGCTAAGTGTGACCGTTAGTGGCCAAGTGGGACCTGATTTCCTCCAGAGCCCCTCCAGCCGCTCTGCTTCTATGATGCCACATCCCATTTCACCAGCCTCCCCCTCAACTGGCCCCCTAACTGCCTGCTTCTTTATCTCTTTGGCTGGGAGTAGTCAGTCATACTAAATGAAAATCTGATCTTCCAACATGAATTGGGCTGATTTCAGATTCTAGATGTCCTCGTATCACAGATATTTATGGAGCATCCATTCTGTTCTAGCATTGTGGTAAGCACCAAGAATATAGTGTATAGAAAGATGTGATCCCTGCCTTAGTGTGATAGGGATGCAGACATAGAAGCAAGCAATTGTGATGCCCCCTGGGGCATGTAGATGGAGCACTCTAGTATATGTAGTATAATCTAGAAATATACTATCTAAGCTGAGATCTGAAGAATAAGAATTAGCCAAGTAGAGCTATTGGGAGTAAGGAGGGCAAAAGGATTCTAGGCAGATGAATAGGTATATATAAACAATGTTATTTTAAAAAAAATGTTCCAAGTTTTTATTTTATTTAAATTCTTGTTAGTTATATAAACAGTGGTATCTTTATTTTTTGGAAGAATTATCCCATTTTAGGAGAAGATCCAAACCAGCCTGGCCTTTTTAAATAGACTTCTGATAACCATAATATAGTTACTAATACTTTTGCATATTAATAATAGCCAACATGTTTTGAGCACTCAATAAGTAATGTGCTAAATACTATGTGTACTTAATGTGGATGATCTAATGAATCCTTGAAACAATCCTTTGAGGTAGGTGCTATTATTATTTTCCATACATCTTTAAAATGGGAATAATAATGACCTTCCCAAAAAACATTTATGAGAAAAATATTTTAAAGATAATACAAAGAAATTTTGAAATATAAATTATCTACATTTATAATACTGTTCCTAATGATCATCAGTATACCAACAGTAAAACCAGGGTAAATGAAAAAGATTGAAACTTTTTTTCAAGTGTAGACCTATACTTCTATGTGTAGTTTTTTTGTTGGAGAATTGTTGTAAGACAACAGTTACTTTTAATAACAATAAAAATACACATTTTAATGGGCTTATTCACCTGAAGATTCCAAATGATTTTATAAATCATTTCATATTGCTTTAGGACATAGAAAATATATTTGTGACATTATGAGTAAGAACAGGCCAGGATTCAATTAATGTGATTTTCTTTCCCCTTTGCAGCAACAGTTTTGGGCATATTAATAGCACATGTTTGAAATTCACACTCTAGACCACCTGTTGGTTGCAGTTTGACAATACAGGAAGAATGGAACAAAGACTGATCTTGAAAGCTACACCCAGAGACCTAATATCAAAAGAGTTTGCACTCTGTGGCTTCTGATAAATGTGCTAAAAGCTTCTGCATATAGATAGCAAAAGTGCTAGCCATCCACTTTCACTTATCTTCATATATACTTGGTTCTCCCACAGCCAGAGCACCACAAAAACAAATGGCCTGGTGACCTGGACTTTTTTTTTTTTTTCAAAAAAGATTCCACAATTTATGATCCACTATAAGGAAGGTCCAGATTAGGGAGGTACTTTGATGCTCCAGCATGAGTGTAGATGTTGCAATCTGATTCTTATTTTTAGTATCACTGTGAATTACTGTCTCTCATTTCTAGGTGGTATCTTTCTAGATTTGACATTTTAGAGAGCTTCCTTCGTTATTCACTATTCAAACTAAGATATCTTAGATTGAGAGAGGTGTTTATCTCCTTACTTGACTCCTAATGAATAAATTGATGTGTCTGTTTTTGCATTTGATAATCCCTTGAGTGAAATGATAGCTAATAGGTAGATTTTTCTTTCTGGATCTTCATTTACAGCCTAATAGATCTTTCTTTGTTTTTCACCTTCTCCTCCCTACTGGTATTAGAAAAGACTGCCGAAAGTTAGGGGAGAAAAATATTTGTTTTATATTTCACTGAAATGTTCTTATGCATTATATAAGTTTTATTGTTAAAGAAAATATTCAGTTTTGACCCTGAAAATGGTAATCTGTCTTTGTTTTGTTTAATAAATATGTGTTCCCTCTTTTAGTAGTACAATGTAGGGAATTTAACTTTACTTTTTGAAAAGTAAGATTAGGCATAGCCTAATTTTTATGTTAAATTGTATAATTTTTCTTTGAGGATGCCATGATGATGGAACCTGTCGATGTTTGACAAACCTTATAAAGGAACTAAAAGTTTCCAATTAAGATTCTATGCTTATTATTACAAATGTGTGCTTGACTGTTTATATGCTTGTTTTTAGGAGTGATTGCTTATTAGACATGTAAGAAAACCTTGTTGAGGCATTTTGGGCACTTGAGACCACTTCCTATGTTCACAACTGATCTTTGTTGTTACTGGGACTTTTACTTTGCATCAGAATTTCCTTAGGTGCACATGTGGATCATGAGAGACAGCCTGTGGCTGGGAAGTCAGCAGAAGACCTCAAGAGTCCTGGCTCCTTGCTGTTCTCAGACCCCCTTTTCCTTTCAATATGAAGAGCAAGGCTACTAGATTGATTGTTAAAGCTCTGTTTTTTCCAGTGCTGCTTCCCATGATCCTGAACTTCATGCAGGTGTCCAAGTTTGTTTCTAAATTATGCTCTTCCAAGTAAGTTGAACTCTCAGCCAAGGAAAAAGAAACAGTTGGGCTTTAGCCCATTAAAAAAAAAAAAAGCAGGACTTTCCTTTGTAGAATCAAGTTGGCTGGTTATGAGACAGTTGAAGTATTACTTTTGCAATGAAAAAGGTGCAAGAAGTTTGCCTAGAAAAAGTGACAGCTTGCAGGTTTCACACTGATGATACAGCAGACACTGGCCCTGTCTGAACAAGGAGGAAGGGTGGAAACAAACATTTATTGAGCCCTTCCTGTGGCCAGAGAAATTATTAGACTTTTTCCCAAGGGAAAAACTAAGGACTTAGTCTTGATTACTTCTATATTTTCAACGTCAGCCATCTTGCTGGTTGGATAAATGGACGGATGCACAGGTGCTTGGATGTGGAGCCAAGAGGTGTAGGGTGTGAGTTTGAGTAATGACTATGATAGAGGAAAGCAAGAGACATAGTCAAGTACTTAGGAACCCATGTGAAGTAAAGATAGATGGAAGAATGAAAGTTAATGTGTAGCCATCAGTATAGTTTTCATTAATGGTTTATCAATCTGATTACACGTATTTCCTTCCCCTCTCTTCAAATATATGAATTAGATGGTCTCCCAGCATGGCAGAAATGACAGTAATTGGTAATGTTTATAAACACAACTTTCGTATGTTTAAAGGAGAACACTCAAATATTGAATAACTCAAGAATTATTTGGTCACATTAATTTGTTCAGCAATTATTTCTTTGAGAGGTACTGTCTTAAATGCTGGAGATACAACTATAAATGAGTCATAGTCTTTTTTACCTTCTATATCCAGGAGCATGGAGTCTACTGGGAGAGACAGGTAAAACAGATTTATGGTGGAGTTTGGTGAATGCTGTGACAGGGGAGAATATGAGTACTACTGGGGTCGTAGAAGCATCATGCATCCATTCAGGAAACTCACAGGAGGCTTTCGAGGATAGTGGCATCTCAGATAACCTCATCTCTGAAACTAGTGAAAAATTACTTGCCTCCTAATGTTATGAAGGTTAAGTGAGATGTGTGTAGAAACCCCTAAAATGTGCCCTGGAACATACAAAGCATTCAATACCTGTATGTGATAATTGTGGTGATAATAATTAAGCTGAGATTTTAAGAATACGGAGGCATAGCTGTAGCCAGATGGTGGAGATGTGGGGACCAGTGAGGAAGATGAGTTTTCAGGCAGTGAGAACTGCATTTGCAAAGGTACCAAAGAAAGGACTGCATAGAACAAATGGGGGAGTAAAGGAAATTCCACAGAGCTATTCATGGAGTTCAGGTGTGGGATGGAGAAAGACTGGAGCAAAGAGACAGCCAAGGGCCATGTGATATTGCCTTGATTGAACTTATCATGGTGCTCATTGCTGTCATTAATATTGTTGTAGTCAGATTTGCATTTTAGGATCACCACTCTGGTTTCCAGTGAATTAAAGGCAAAATGAATTGAAGGGGGCTAAAACCAATTAGGGAAAGGAGGTAGCTATTTTGGTAATCCAGGCAAGAGATAACCAGAAATAAGTCATTGGCAGTGGGAATGAAGAGAAGTAGATAAATCTGGCTAATGTTAAGGGGGCAGAGTTAGCAAGACTTAGATGATTCAGTATGGGGATTGTGAAGAAGTAAAGCTAACAAACACATGGGTTTCTGGCTTTGGTAGCTGGACAGATAGTACTAAATGACCACTAAGGGAACACAGGGAAAGAGCATTTGGAGGTCTGGTGCTGGAAGATGACAGTTTTATGTGGGGACATGCTGTGTATAGGATATCCAAGAGGCATTCAGATTTGTGTAGCACAGGTGGGAGATCTGGATGAGAGGTAATATGGTTTGGGGAGTCATCACCCTGGGGTAGAGGGAATGTTAAAGTTGGGTGCTTACTTAGATCAAACATTAGATGGTAGATTGGCCCAGATGATTCATAATGGCCTTCTAACCCTGCAATTCTAGTATAATTCATCATAAGGAGTCACTTGGGCAGGCTCATAGTGTCTCGTGACATTGTAAATTACCAGAGGTTCAAGATATTTTGGTAAAACCCTCAAAGACAAAGAGTACAACTTGCCAGTGGCAACTGTATTTGATGCTGGTTGCTTTTTGAATTGTGGGAAGTTTCTCTGAATCTCTAGTTTCTGAAAAATTAAAAACTTAGGCAATACTGGTTCTCTTTCTAATGTGACAAAATACTAATAAACTGCTGAGGCAGGCAGTGCCTACCCCGCTTTATGGGGCATCAGTTTCACTTTGGTCACCTCCCATCTAACTTGCCTCACTTATTGAAGTGACTTGCGTAGTCCGGTAGGTGTTCTAGTGTGACTCCTATATAGGGAAATCATTTTGGGGAAGAGATGGGGGCAGCCTGTTAAAATACAGATTCCCAGGCCATACCCTACAGGGTCAAACCGGTAGACTTGGCTGGGCTAATACTTGGGAATCCACATTTTAACATGGCCAGATATGTTGCAGGTATCTGATTATCCTACTTAAAAACCCAGTGCATATAGAGGCGCCCAGGTAGCTTAGTTGGTTAAGCATCGACTTTTGATTTCAGCTCAGATCATGATCTCAGGGTGGTGAGATTGAATCTCATACTGGGCTCTGCTTTGGTCAGGGAGCTTGCTTGGAATTCTCTCTCTCCCTCTGACTGCACCCCCCCCCCCACTACCACTAATGCATACTTTCTCAAAACAAAACAAAACAAAAACCAATGCATATAAATGGATGCAGATGCCCTTAGAGGACATGAAAACAGAGTAAAACCATACATCACTGACTTCCAAACCTGGCAGTGCGTCATACACACTTGTGGATTTATGAAAACTATATATAACAGAACTCCTATCCCAGAGATTCTGATACCATATTTCTAGAATGGGGCCTGGTACCCTGCATAGAATGATTAGGCAGCCAGGTCTGGGAACCACTGTTAGATTTATCACATGCATGTTAAGGGCAGATGTCAAGAGGTGAAGCACAAGGAGAATAGCTCTTCTGAACTGGACAAGTCAGCACTGAGAGGATAATTACTTCTAGACTAGGTGATTAAGAAAGATTTTGCTGAGGAGGCAGGTTTCAGAAATTGCTTTGGTCGGTCAGAAATATAATTAAGTAAAAACATTTTTATGCCCTAAGTATAGTTGTGGGAAAACTCAAAGGTTCGAGAGTAGACCAGAGGGTTTTTAAAGCATGACTAAAAAGAGTAAAAACCCAAAAAAGGAGGGTAGGGTTTTGATCCCTTTAGTTCATATTAATGGCAATGGAAACTGCTTATGTGAAGGCAGGTGCTTTCTCATTTTTATTAAATCTTTCATGTTTTATAAAATTACTCTAAAGGTACTGTTAAAAGTAGAACACCACTTTTGCAAAACAATGAACATTGGAAAACATGTCATTTCTTTGAATACTCGACATTGACATAACAAAATCTTGAGGCCAGAACCTGTCAATTTTCTGTGCAACTCTTGGGCACACCATTCATTTTCCCCTTTCCTTCTGCCTGTTACATGGGATAAGAAAACAGGAAGCCAACAGATCACTTTGGTTAATCGGGTATCAAGAGCTTGTTTCATCACTGTGGAAATATGACACTCCTATGGAAGACAGTGAAACTTCTTATCTCTGTATTTTTCAAGATTCTTTTTACATCTCAGAATAATCTTTCTGAAAACAAAAAACAGGAAGACACA